CAACGAGAGAGTAATGAATGAAAAGTCTAGTGTGGAAAAAGATCTCGGAGTTTATGTCGACAAGGAGCTAAAATTTTCTAAGCATGTTGAAACGCAAGCTAACACATCCAACAAACTTCTTGGATTAATCAGACGCTCATACGAGTTCATAGATGCAGAAGCGATGAAGCAGTTGTTTGTTGCTTTCGTGCGCCCGAATCTAGAGTTTGGAAATGTTGCGTGGTCACCGAAATTTGAAAAGGACAGAAATTTAATAGAGAATGTTCAAAGACGCGCAACAAGGATAATTCCAGGCTTGAAGGGCAAGTCATATAAAGAAAGATTAAAGATTATTGAGATTCCAAGCCTCAGTTATCGACGTCTGCGTGGGGACTTCATTGAAGTATACAAGTATGCTCATGGTTTATACAAGGTCCCCGAAGGATTACTAGAATGTGAAACAAGAACCAACACCAGGGGCCACAGCTATAAACTAAAAAAACTACGCTGCAACTTCTCCACGCGACAAAATTTCTTCTCGCTTCGAATCACCGACATGTGGAACAGCCTCCCCGATGACATCGTTGGCGCTCCAAGTATGAACGCGTTCAAGAACAGACTAGATAAAGCTATGGAAAAATATATGTTCAGATTTGAAATGCCTAGCACCATATCGAACCCGGTGGAAGTCGAGTAGTTATTTCAAACTATCGTCAGTCATGAAAAGATCCGGTCAAATGACACGATTTTAGATCTTCTGTGTACAAGGCACGAAAAGGAAAAGAATCGGCCACATCAGGCCTACACTGCACACTGCACAGTGTAGGCCACATCAGGCCTACACTGCAGCGCCGAGATCACTATGTTATGTTATGGCTGTATGATGAAGGAAACTTGAGAATACATACCGTTGACCAGATCAACTGCCTGGTTAACTTCCCTGACAGATGTGTTAATTTTCGTTCTTGCGACCGAATTGGGCTTTAACATACAACGATGGATTTAAGAATATCTAGATTAGTCAATTTCAGCGAGGTGGGGACCAGTCCTCGTCCATGTTTTGTCGGAAATAGTCCAACATCAACAAATGTTCAGTGCACGAACTAAAACGCGATTGGCAGGATTTTTAAGAAGCAGTAGTGAAGCACCTCTCATATGATTTCGGCGTCAGGTCCCAGCAGCAAGTTTCTTAGACATATACCGTACTTACAACAGCACGGCGTCTTTCTCGCATTTGGGTGGCGTGCGCAGCTTTTTCCCGTAGCTGGGATCAGCTTCGTGATCCGGATCCGCGATCCGGATCATCTGAAGCCGATCCGCTTAGCTCGGACCAGCTTTAGTTGGCCTTAACAATCGCCTTAATTTGAAACTAAAAATAATAGGGCACTTTGTGTGAAGGTTTTGATCATAAGGCACACTGGATCAATTTTCTCAACTTTCCGCGTACAGGGAACGAACAATTTAAAATAACACTTAAAATTGAACAGAGTTAAGCACTACGTATTAGAAAATTTTCAAAAGGCACCCTCGATGAATTATTAATAACAAGCTAAATAACATGCTAAATTAACGATCCGAGTAAAGTTCCAATTACCGGCTGAATAATGCCAAAGCTCATGGGCTTCGGTCCTACCAAAGAGGACCTAAGCATATGTACACGTTTGAAGCCTGCGGCACAATTAAAAAGTTTATAGAAGGCCTCAGAGGTGACTAACTGTTTGGGCACATGTAGAACATAGTGGAAGCATCCTATACAGAAATCACATTTAAAATAAGGCATATGAAAGGAAGGATCCATCCAAAAGCCTCGGATTAATAATTACTTACATCAGCCGGATAGTTGAAGAACTCATGCTTATTTGTTGCTAGGTCTGGAAAGCTGCATCAAGTGGGTATTGTAACAGGAAATAGACTATGAGTATATGCTACCACATTAACGCAGGCTCGATTCTTCTAATAGGAAACGACGATGTAAGTGTTTAACCCCGACATGCAGATCCTTTTCAGAGCTAAAGCGGTTTAGAAATTTCTGGGGTGACCACGATGATCAGTACCTACTCCACATGCCTCTTTATTGACATAACGTGTCTTCCCTATACTTCTAGATAACACTTTTTCTCTCAAACCTTTAGAAGGGATGACTTTACTTCTCTTAGTATGTCCTGCTTGTCAAACCCTGACTGGGATGCCCTGTAGACTGTGTTCCGCATTGGATTATAAATCGGCTAGCTTGTTCTCTCAATAATTTATGAACTGCCATAAATTTTACGTAAATGGGGCACTGTGGTCAGTAGATGTGAAAATTATGGATTAAAAAAAACACAGGTAGGTAGAACTTGCGGCGCAAGGATTGTATTAAAAGTAAGCTGGAAGTATATTCAGATGAGAAAGTTAGGACAAATAAAACACTCTACACCACATGCAACCCTCCGTTACGGCGATATTAGAGAAACAAATTGCCCGTCATTGACTGATGATAGCCCCTAATTGTAAAAATTAGGATGCAATGGGACACACACGTCAAAGGAAGAACTAAGATGTTACCTATTCAAGGTTAGACTCCTGCGACAGAATTAGAATGAAAACGATCGTCAGCAACCGTTATACTAAGTAATTACACCATTCACCGAAAATCTCATTTTTACCGGATCGTGCGAACTCTTGATGACGAACAGACGAGCAGGCCCGATCACAGAGTCAGAGTTCCACACATTTCGGTTAATAAAAATTTATACAATCTAGCTTTAAATTGTCTAAAATCAAATTATTTAAAGTCTATCATTCCAAAATCAAATTATTTTAAGTTTATCACGCCAAGTATTTGCCCTAGTTTGGTCGTCCGGTGTGACACCGAGAATATGACAGTAATGACACCGACCTTTTAAAATTGTGTGGAGTGTGTTAATTAAATATTTTTCTTAACAACGGTGAGCCAATTTAGGAACATTAATGATTAAACGTAAACTAAATCATCGATAAACTATAAAGAAATCCTGGTAACGTCACCACAGCCACAAAAATTCACTCCTGTTAATATTCACTGCACGATCGTTTCGGATACATCCACACTCGTCCGCAGCCAATTTTATTCTGCCTACCGGCAATGACACCAACTTACGGATTATGAAAGACATGGACGAAAGATACTTTAAACTTGAATGTTTTCAAGATCAAGCTTGAATGTCGCTGTAAGTTTAAATTGTAGCCCTTAAAAAACAGTGCTTAGTTATACATTTGAATTTTGGGAAACAAGTTCTCAGTTTTGTCGTTACCCGGGTCGGGTGAGTAGCTTAGGAGCCTAGGCTGAACTCGCACCGTTGGCAAGATTTGTCAGATGTGGCTTTACTACACACGACTAACGTAATCTTTGCAGATGGATTAAGATTGTTAGACCTAGTATGAATGCCGATGTTTTCTATCAAATAGTGGAATTAAACGCATTATTTGCCACTTAAAAAAGCTCCCATCTAACACATCGACGCCTATAGTAATACTTGGAACGCGTGTTATGAGCAGGATATTAGCTACGATTGAATAGAGTAGATGCAAAGTCTGCACTCAAGGAACATTCACTTAACTTCTCGGAAGTTAACGAACGATGAACATCGGATTTGTGCAGCTGGGCCCAGATGACGAGGTGCTAATATCTCGGTAATGCAAACGGGCGTCAAGCATAAAACACGGTCACACAATAAAACTATCATGAGGATACTAAACATTTTATTTCGTAAACTTACAAGAAAATGCGGTGAAAAATATGATTATAATTATAACACCAAGTTCAAATTAATGGTTAAGAAGTAAGACGTGTTATTCAACAAATGCAAAAACTCATAAATCTGTACATAGAAATCAGACTAATATTCATAGAAGAAGCTATTACATGGATTTTACAGAAAAAAATAAATGAAAACGAATACTCCACGCATGTTCCGCCAAGTTCAGTACGTTATGCCAGAAATTCACCATGAATAATACCAAATGATTTCTTCGTAAATACTTGAATTAGTGAATAAAACACGAGTACATCATGAGTATTCCAGTACGCATCTTCAGTCGTGGAAATGCTCTCAAAATATTTCCATCATAATTCAACATCTAATGATCTTTCAAACAAAAAAAAATATACATATAACGCTTAAATAACAATGAAAATTTTCACTACAACGAGTTGTATGAAATATAGCAATTACTTCTAAATAAATTCAAGGTGAAACGTAACAGGCTAATGAAATTATGTTATAAGCCATCATATAAATTCAGCCGATTGTTCGGTGCAACAAAAGACAATATAATTATTATCCTAGCCAGATAACATCCATTCTGTATTTGGAATAATATAATTTTTCCATTACTTTAAGCACAAGAACTAAAATCTAAGAAAATTTCCACCTTATTTATTTATTTGAATAATAAATTGATAAATTGAGTTAGAATTTCATCAATTACCAAAATTTATATTAATTTGAAACTTAAAGAGTAGAACGAAAATCTATCATAAGTAAATATAACAATAATGTTAAAAACAATAAAAACTCGATCAAATCGAAAAATTTCAAAACATTTATTGTTACCGTACCTTACGAATAAGAAATGTTTATTGCGTTTCATCAGCACATCAGCAGAATTCACAACAAGTTGATTATTTGAATATTTGCTTTCTTACAAAAAATCTAAATAATAAAAATAAAAAATTTATAAAAAAGAGAACACATATTTAATATGTTCAGCAATGTATTGCATCTAATTAACATGAAATATTTTAAAAGAATGGGTATGACTCAGTCTCAATTAGAGTCACGATTCGTACACCGTTTCGTACACCCGGCTCAGTGGTTAAAGTTCAGAGTACCAAGATTGGCGCAGACAGGCGCGGGTTCGATCCCAGCTCTGTGCGCCAGTTTCTGGTCAGAATCGGCAAGGAGGCCGGGCGGTTAAGCACAGCAGAATTGTAGTAGTGAGTTGTGAGTTCGAGCCCGCAAAATGCTGTGCAAACGTTCTGCGATGTTCAGAATCGCGAAAAGTCTACGGTCTAATAAACGCTGATACCGCTATTATTATTATTATTATAAGGCTGATAGTGAAAACCCGTTGAATACTTGAGACGGGAAATTGAGACGCTCCCGCTGGAAAAGCAATTAATTAATAAATTATATTATTTAAATTAATTAAGCTATGAGTATGTGTTTTTCATGTATGTGTTCATTTCGTCCACGCAGACACGTTGCTTTGTACATAAGAATTTTTTCGTTTTAAAGAAGCTATTTGTTTTAAGTATGCAAATTTGGCTGAGAAATTGCTTGAATTTCATGGAGGGAAGTTGTGGCAACATGGTAGTTCGAATACCCACTTGCATAATAAGCATAATCTATATCCGGATTACGTAAAATAGTAAATTCCATTCCTATAAGAGCTGTTTAATTATTCGATATATCAACATGGGACCTAATATAACTAAAATGACTATCTTTTAGAATCCATTTCTGAACCTGGCGTGAACTTGTTCAAGATTCGCGAAGAACTCATATACTTAAAAATTATAATAGTAGGAGTGGGTAGAATGAACTTGAACGAACATCGTTTGTCAGCTGAGTTTGACTTAAATACGAATGTGATTTTGAGGTCCGGCAGTACCGGGTGTGATTCCAGAGGTCTAAACCGAAGACTTATACACGACGGCCAGTATGAATCGGCAATTCAAACATCCTAACGACACAAGAAAATAATTTTTAGCAGCCAAAATTGACAAAATTAACTCCATTTGAATGAATTATAACGCAAGAACCGAGGGCTAAGCTTCGTTCTCATTGAGTCGCTCAGTTTAAAGTAGCGCCTTAATTCTGAGTCGTCACAGAATTGTGGTCGGCTGCGACAGCGATCAAGGTGCTAGCGATTGAGTTCGTTATGGGAGAGATTAAACTCTCATCTGTTAATGCAGATCCATGATTTTCAGCACTCGTATTGAGGTCCGGTGATAACTTGCCATCGACTGATCCCTCCTCCGCATCGTCTTCGTCTGCAGTGACAATGTCACTGGTTTTGGTCACCGTAGTTACAGTAGTAGTTATGTTTTCATCAGAAGGAGTCTGCTTTTCTTGATAGGTCTTTATTTCGATGTATTTCTTCCCGTCTTCGTAAAAGTTCTCAACTTCAGCCGCTTCGCTCACATCCGATGTGATGGAAAGTTTCGGGATTTTTAGTCCTCCTTCGACTGGTTTCAACTCAGAAGTGTCAAGGATCTCTTGCGGCTCCTCCGCGCCGTTGACGCCGGTCTCGTCGGCGACGTTCCAACCGACCACCTGAAGACCTTCTTCCTCTTCACTTTTCAGCTCAGGAATGCTTTTAATGCCGGAGTTATTTATGTTAGATGAACTGCCCGAAGGAGAGGCTTTACCACTACTACCGTTCATACCTCCGCTCTCAAGGTAATCCAGAATTGAGCTGCAAAAACATCGAAATAAATATATAAAAACTTGCGCCTGTATATTTTACTCGGTAGTGCCCAGTGTTTGGGGTGGGATAAAGTCTCAGCTTTTCATTGATCAAAGTTAACTAACATTATCAAAATTTATCGATTAAATGATTACTATATGATAAGTTCTTAAATATCTCCAGATCCGTCTCACCGATTGGCGTTAGCTCCAGCAGGGGAGGTGGCTGGGGTGCTGGAGGCGGAGTGCCCGGGAGTTTGGGCCCTGCGAGGGTACAGACTGCCCCTAGCAAACGGGTGTTCGCGGGGGGCATGCCTAGGAGGAGATGAACCCGTCGCTGGTGTGATGCCTGAACCTGGCAAAAAGTAATAGGATCAGTGAACCAAGCGCTGGTGTGAAGCCTGAACCTGGCCAAAAGTTATAAGATCAGTGAACCAAGCGCTGGTGTGAAGCCTGAACCTGGCCAAAAGTTATAAGATCAGTGAACCAAGCGCTGGTGTGATGCCTGAACCTGGCAAAAAGTTAACGATCAGAGACTGTTTTGAATTAGAGTGATTTAACCACCCGTAAAATATTTCTATGAACCAGCGTGAAAATATTCCGATTAATCTATTTCAAGAATGCTATGAGAGACCCTTGTAAAATATTATGATGAACCCTCATGAAGACATTCAGATATTCACCGAAAAAAATAGTATCATGGACCTATGTGAATATACTTGAAATTAGTGAGATAATCAGTTAAAAAGTATGATACGCCACCGAGCCGTATTTCATAGATCCCATGAATTGATGTGATGGACACTTTAAAAATATTATGATGGGTCTTCGTAAAATATTTCGATGGTCCCAGTAGAGAGATGTGATGCCCATGGAAAATATCATGATGGGTCTCGGCGATAAACATTATTATGTGCTTCGGGTGAAAATAATATGACGGCATTGGTGGAATATTTTGATAGGATTAAGACCAAAATATCTTGATAGAAGAGGAGACAATAGCAATTTATAATGGAATAATCCTTCACCATCATAGGATAGTATCGTATTTTCATAGCATTATGATGATAAAACCAATGATGATGTTCGTTGTGTAAATAAAGTGTATGGTCGTAGTATATTCACCTGGTAGCATGTTGTCTGTTGCGGTGGGGGAGGGTAGGAGGGTGCGGTGGGGGGAGGTGGTGAAGGAGGAGGAGCGGGCGGGGGAGGAGCGCTCCTGTCGGGACGGACGCAGCGACAGCGTCCTGATGGGCGGACGACGGCCCTCCTGCACCTGAAGGATATTTGTGAAGGATTTATAAACAAATATTCATAAACTTTACTGCTGCAAGTTTTTCTAAAGTCTTAAATATTGATATTTAACATAACATAGTGATGTTGGCGCTGAAGTGTAGGCCTGATGTGGGCTGTCGCCGATTCTTTTCCTTTTCGTGCCTTGTTCACAGAAGATCTAAACTCATGTCATTTGACTGGATCTTTTCATGACTGGCGATAGTTTGAAGTAGCTACTAGACTTCCACCGGGTTCGATAAGGAGCTAGGCATTTCAAATCTGAACATATATTTTTCCATAGCTTTATCTAGTCTGTTCTTGAACGCGTTCATACTTGGAGCGCCAACGATGTCATAGGGGAGGCTATTCCACATGTCGGTGATTCAAAGCAAGAAGAAATTTTGTCGCGCGGAGAAGTTGCAGCGCAATTTGCGCAGGGGAATTGCATACATCAATATTTATGAAGATAGAAAACATATCATACTTGTTTATAATTAAATAATACTTGATAATAACAAATACGAGTAAGATAAATACTCGTATTAGTGAACATTTGAGACACCTACGTATATTGCATTTACATTATGAAATTCCTCCTCATAGTATCAGTATTCGTAAACAAATTGCTACGATTATTATTTAGGAAGATTTTATAAATTTAAGAATTCCAAATATTAATAACTCTTATCATTGAGAAATAATTCAAAAAACGATATCGCTAAGAAATTTAAAAATAGAGCGTCTCAAAAATACTATCAAATATCAATACTCATAAACGATTACCAACTACTAACATTTTCGTATGATGAAAAATAATGAACGTGAACGTTTTTAAGATTTAATTTGTATGAGCTGTTCGAAGTTGAGCCCATAGGAGTACTCATTTCTCCAGAAAACTGAAATACTTCATTGGTTTTGGCCGGATCATTATGTACTCGCAACGATGCTAATTATAACCTGTATGCAAGAGCTCGAAATCAAGCTAAAAAAAAAAATCTGTCGCACCGCAGTGAAAAACTTTGAACTGGAAAGCCTTCTTTTCTACGCGAGTTCGAAGTGCAAGACAAACGCCCGTATTTCTGTTTTGAAAGCCGACCAACGAAAGATATCCTCTGATGAGGACTAAAATAGCATTCTAGCTATTAAGGAGCGCCCAGTAGGCTCGAAGTTATCAGGTTGTGAAATACACGAAGAAGAGGTTCTCAAGCCCCTTATCGCTCTGAATCCCAACAAGTCTTGTGGACCAGGGAGAAAAAAATTTGGGAGTTTATGTCGACAAGGAGCTGAAATTTTATAGGCACATTGAAACGAAAGCTAATATATCCAATAAACTTCTTGGACTGATCAAACGCTCCTACGAGTTCTTAGATGCATAAGTCATGAAGCTGTTGTTTATCGCTGTCGTGTGCCCGAACCTAAAGTTTGGAAACGCCGTGTCATCACCGAGACTTGAAAAGGGCAAAAATTTTGTAGAGAGTGTTCAAAGACGAGCAACAAGGATAATTCTGGGCTTGAAAGGCAAGTCCTATAGGGAAAGATTAAAGATTATGAAGCTTCCAAGCCTCTGTTATCGACCTCTGCGTGGTTACCTCATTGAAGTACACAAGTATACCCACGGTTTATACAAGGTCGCAGAAGGATTAATAGAATTTGAAACAAGAACCAACACCAGGGGCCACGGCTACAAACTGAAAAAACTGCGTTGCAACTTATCCACGCGACAAGACTTACCGCTTAGAGTCCCCGACATGTGGAACAGCCTCCCCGATTACATCGTTGACGCTCCGAGTATGAACGCGTTCAAGAACAGACTAGATAAAGCTATGGAAAAATAAATGTTCAGACTTGAAACGTCTAGTACCACATCGAACATGGTGGAAGACTAGTAGCTATTTCAAACTATCGTCAGTTTAAAAAAAAATTTGGTCAAAGGACCTGTTTTAGATCTCCTGTGAACAAGTCACGAAAAGTACAAGAATCGACGACAGGCCACATCAGGCCTACTCTTCAGCGCCGACATCACTATGATATGATACGATAAAAAATGAATAATTGATAATAATAATTATCACCATTTGATGATACCACATAACTATAAACGATCGTAGGATTTAAAGAACGATGATCTTGGTTATTGGTTATACTTGATGATTAGTTAAATAATCTAAAATATACGCCACTTTAATGATTTAATCGCTGGACCTTTAATACATCACTGAGTCTTCAATACGTCACTGGATCTTCAATACGTCACTGGGTCTTCAATACGTCACTTGACCTTAAATACGTCACTGGACCTTCAATACGTCACTGGAATGATGTAATCTATGAACTGTTAATTAATCACAAATTAATGATCGGCTTGCCTTCATCTTTGCCTCGAGTAGCTGCTTGCCGCGCCCCGACATGACGATCTTCTCCCGCGCCGCCCTCAGCTCCTCGTCCAGACGACGGCGGTCGCTGTCCAGCGCCTTGAGACGCGCCTCCGCCTCTGCCGTTCAATTATTTACTAATTTACTGATTAACAACTAATTATAATTCGCATTATTTTGGTGATTTTAGCACCTCTGCCTCTGCCATTCAATTAATTACTAATTTACTGATAAATGACTAATTATAATTCGAATTATTCTTGCTGATCTTAGCGCCTCCGCCTCTGCCATCCAGTTATTTACTAATTTGCTTATTAATTATTTATTGCGATTCGGCTCTTGCTGATTTTAGCGCATCCGCCTCTGCCGTTTAGTTATTTACTAATTTACTGATTAATGATAATTGTATTTCGAAGGGTTCTTGCTGATTTTAGCGCCTGTGTCGTTTAATTATTTACTAATTTAGTGACCAATGATTAATTGCAATTCTAATTATTCTTGCCGATTTCAGCGCCTATACCTCGGCTATTGAATTATTTACTAATTTAGTGATTAAAATTAAATTTAATGATCAATGATTAATTGTAATTCGAATTATTCTTGCTGATTTTAGCGCCTCCGCCTGTGCCGGTGTGCCAAACTCCACTGCAGTTATTAACTAATTTACTGAATAATAACTATGATTATAATTATTACGGATTCAAGTTGATAATGAAACTGAAAGTGAATTTGCAGAAGAACCTTGTTTCAAATTCGTCTAAAACATTTTTGATATTAAGATCATAAAAAGATACGGACAGGACAAGTAATAAAGTAATGAATCAAAGATGCGACTAGAAAACCATGATAAGGAATTCGAAACTCAAAAAAATAGGTACTTCGCTATGAAAAAAAAGTATTTATCAGCCCAAGTATACGTATTTTCTATCTATCTCAGATAAGACACAGTAATATTAACCTAGATGAGTTACCCAGAGTTTTTTCTCCCCAGCATATTTTCTATCTATCTCAGATAAGACACAGTAATATTAACCTAGATGAGTTACCCCGGAGTTTTTTTTCCCCTAGCATATTTTCTATCTATCCCAGATAAGACACAGTAATATTAACCTAGATGAGTTACCCCGGAGTTTTTTCTCCCCTAGCATATTTTCTAGCTATCTTAGAAGAGGCACAACAATATTAATCCCGATGAGTTACCCCGGAGTTTTTTCTCCCCTAGCATATTTTCTATCGATCTCAGATAAGACACAGCAATATTAACCCGGATGAATTACCTCGGAGTTTTTTCTCCTGTTCCTTCTGCAGGATCTCGAAGGCGCGTCTCTTGCGTTGCTCTTCCTCCAGCAGCTGCTGCTGCTCCTGCTGTAGGCGCTCTAGTTCCTCGCGCTTGGCCCACTCCTCCCGCAGCACCCGCGCCTGAAGGTTCCTGAGCCAAAAAAATTAATTTCAAACACGTAATAAAATTTTGTTTCTCAGCTCTGCCACGTGTCAGTGAACAGAGAGAGAAAGTTTAAACAGTGAGCGGTTAAAGATAGCTCTGTTGGCAGGATTTTGATGGAACTGAGAAGGGCCGGCAATCCACGGTTACCAAGCTTTTTCGGAAAAATAAGAAAATTTCAGCCGTTGAAACCAAACCGCAGTTTTTCTTTTGTCTCTTAATTACAAAAAATGTGGATCAATCATTTGGCTAGGGTTTGGCACAAAAGAATACAGCAATCAAGAGCATTAAAAATGTATGTTGGCAATCTGAAGTTTACGCTTGATTTCGTTCTCTCATCCCTGAATGAAATTTTGTCAAACGAGACTATATCCGCGCATTTCCTTTCTATGAGAACTAAATAAAAATAGATAATAACTATCCAACTCGTTCTTAAACCCTTCCTAACTCAACGCCAATCTTGATCATTTCTATGATTCTTGCCGCTGAAAGGTAAAACCCTTCTATTGATCCTCTTTTTAAACCTTATAGGTCAGTAATGAGATAACTCCCAAGTTTAACGTGAACAATTTCACTTGAATCCATCCATACATCTCTCTAAAATTTTCATATCATAATAACATATCCCACATGAAATATCATAATATCATATCCTACATTCCGTTTATACTGAAAATATGCACATCGTACAAAACGACATCACCCAAACTTTTTGAATAACGACAATTTCTATATCATTTTGTATTTATATAATTTCATTTCCTGAATTTCATACATATTAATAAATAGCACACGTATATACACCTTACATCTCCTCGTCCTGCTGACGAACAGTACACGCACTTGACGATCTCCTCGTCCTGCTGACGAATAGTACACGCACCTGACGATCTCCTCGTCCTGCTGACGAATAGTACACGCACCTGACGATCTCCTCGTCCTGCTGACGAATAGTACACGCACCNGTGAGTTATATCAGTGATATCATAATGATAGTGATGAATATCATTGATGTCATCAGGATAGTGAGTTATATCAGTGATATCATAATGATAGTGATGAATATCATTGAAGTCATCAGGATGGTGAGTTATATCAGTGATATCATAATGATAGTGATGAATATCATTGACGTCATCAGGATGATGACCAACATTAATGATATCATAAATATAATAAGAAATTGTAAAGGCATAATCAAGATGGTGAGCAATATTACTGATATCGTAACGATGGTCAAAAATTTTAATAACATCATAAATGTAGTGAAAATTATAAATGGCGTCATTAAAATGATGACGGTTATTAATTACAGCATAAATATACTGAGAAACATTTATAATATCATGAATATAAAAAGCAATGTTAAAATTTCAGTGCCAAATTGAATCTGTTAAGTGATCTAAGTATTCATTCAACGTGGGTGAATGGCTCTGAAATTTTTTATACCTCAATTGACGCGAACGAGTAAAGAAACTTTTGCTGTGCAACAAATTTATTATGTCGTCAACTGAAATTTGAAAGAGTAATTAATTTATAACTTTAGTTTAAACTTAGCTAATCGCTTTTTTTGATGATTCAAAATATTAAGTTTAGTTGAAACCTGTAAAAACTGAAACGGAATTGAAATCACAAAAATGCATTACAGTAACAGAGGATGAATGGCAGGCAACAGACTAACACATCTGTGTAAACTTTTACAATTGCAGTGATGAATGAATAGAAATGAGACTACGACACGGATGAAATAATTATGTTTATTTCCAAGTACGATTCGAGTAAGAGTTAAAAGTTCTAAAAAAGCTTGCAGCGAGCAGCAGCCAACTGAACCCAGTTAGTTTGATCTCAAGCTCATAATTTCAAATGTTGCGTCCATCGCCAGTTTATCAGCTAGGAATCGCACTTTAAAAATTGCTGAAAAATATAACTCAGTACTTACTACAGTGAGTGACAGAGAGCGCATTTTCTCAAAATCGACGAAAACGTGAAGTCATAGACAGACAGACGGACGGACATGACGAGCACAATAGCGCCTTTTTTCCATAAATGAGAAAATGAGCTGAGAATAGAGGTTCAAAAATCCGCTAGCCAATCATTGACGGTTTTTCAAGATAAAGCCATGATTATATATAATCACAGACGAGAAATTAGCGTTACATGTACTTGAGACGCACGTGTAGGTACATAAGCGAGTTTTAAAAATACAGCCAAGTCTGTTATCTTGGAATACATGATACCAAAGATACCAATGGAACCATGAAGTTTTTCATCAAATATGGAAAGGTGAACAGAATCTTTCGTTTGCCAATGTAGCCATACAAAGTTTTCTTCAATGATCTCTTAATAGCAATTTTGCTGCATCTAAGTCATTATTCAACAGCTGCATAACTCAAATAGAAACTCAGTAGAACCATTGAACTGAAATAAAATTAGGCACAAAAACAACAATAACATTCGATAATAATTATTTATAACTGAAACTGAATAGAAATCAGTCAAAACAATTCCAGCCACTGAACTACACAAAATCTGTAAAGTTGCTCACAGTTCTCTAAGCAGCAATGATCACTATTGTATTTTTAACATAAGAAGCAAACCGAAACTCCAAAAAATCCCTGCCATTGAACAATATAAAATTGTTCCAGATACTACGCAGTTTTATTACGGTTCTCTAAGTGGTAATGATCCCAATTATTTACATCTTTATAATACACTCGAAACATTCTAAAAATCCCTGCCACTGAACTACTCAAAATTGTGCAAGTCCCGCAGTTTTCTCACGGTTCTCTAAGCAGCAATGATCACTGTTATTTATAACATAAGAAGCGTACCGGAACGCAAAAAAAATCCCTGCCACTAAAATACACAAAATTGTGCCAGACACGCGGTGTGCTCACGGTTCTCTAAGTAGTAAACAATTATAATTCGATTGACGATATTTATATACAGTTTACGAAATGATCTTAATTATTTAAATCTTTACTATACACTCGAAACGTTCTAAAAATCCCTGCCACTGTACTACTCAAAATTGTGAAAGTCAGGCAGGTTAATCACGGTTGTCTAGGTAGTAATGATCCTAATTATTTACATCTTTATAATACAATCAAAACGTAAGTAGTAATGATCTTAATTATTTACATCTTTACTATACATTCGAAATGTTCTAAAAATCTCTCCCACTGAACTATACAAAATCGCGCAAGTCAGGCAGGTTTACCACGGTTCTCTAAGTAGTAAACAATTATAATTCAATTGACGATATTTATATATAGTTTACGAAATGATTTTAACTATTTGAATCTTTATAATACACTCGAAACGTTCTAAAAATCCCTGCCACTGTACTACTCAAAATCGCGCAGTTTGCTCACGGTTCTCTCAGCTGCGAGCTCAGCCTGCGTCTGCTCGATGATGTCGGCCTGAGAAGACCTCCTGATGCGCTCCTCACAAGCCCTCAGCTCCTCCTCTGCCTCCTCCTCACGACGGCTCACAGAGACGCTCATCTTCAAATATATATAATGATAAACTAAATTGATCACTAAATGATAAACCGCTAATGATAAACTAAATGATAAGCTAAATGATAAACCGCTAATGATAAACTAAATGATAAACCGCTATAAGGATAAACTAAATGTAGAGACCGCTTGGTAATGATGATCAGGATAAAAGTTGGATAAAATTTATACTAAATTGAGAGCATCAATTGAGTGTAGATAACGCTCAGACTTAATACAAGGTAGAAATGTTTAACCAAATGCAAAAAGAGCTCCCAAGCTAAAAAAAAACAATATTTTAGGGATATAAATGGGTAGGGTTTATATATTGGGTTTAGATCAGTTATTTAGACGAAAACAATCATATTTGACTGAACAGAGTTACTAAACAACTAAAACTAAACAATCACAATATTTGCGATACAACGACTAATAAACTTTCGACCACAATTCCAAGTTGAACACTTTGATCCATAAAGTTTCATCGGACATTACAAACCTGATACGGCATAGCATCTTTGCAGTGGAGGATGGCTTCTTGCAGAGCAGCCATGAGCCTTGCTTTGCTCCTACCAAAAATATTAAAAGCTTTAACGAATGCTAATGATGAACACGAGTTTATTGTGACACGATGGCGCTGAATATAAAAAGAAATTGAAAAGTAAATCGAGTTTCATTGCGTTTCCGGTCAAACAAATTCTAAAAATACTTTCCGGTGCATCATTGCAACACATCTGTGCATCCAGCACTTTAGAAGTACAATATTATTGGATAGAGAATTGATTCGGCAAAGTTAATCAAGATTTTGGGAGCACGCAGCTGAAATGAAAGAAGCGAGCTCATGCAAAGAAAGCAGATGATTAATAAATAAATTTTAATCGAGAATCATTTTGAGAGTATACTTCTGAAACAGTAACGAGTAATTATTAAATCTAAAAAAATTCGACTCATCGTCGTCGTGTGAACTATAACTCAGGATTAAATTTTTAATCAGGTATGATTCATTCCAATAATTCTACTATGACACATTTCTTATCAATAAAAAAGGCAGTTAGCCGAAACCTCTAATAAGAGTTAATGCACTTGCATATAAATTTATATTAAAAATAATCACTAATTCTCTCATCCCATTCTGATTAAAGACTCACTTATGATCTTGCGCAGCAAGTACGATTGGTCGCGCTGTAGGCGTATTGACGATGGATATTTTGCAAGGCTTTCCAGAGGCGGAATCTTTGAGTGACGTCACCTCCGTCTCAGGCGTAATGTCCAATTTCCAGACCCGCCCAATGACACCGCCGATGATTCCTTTAGTGCTTTCTTTCGCAGGCCTTGGCGACAGAGTCTTACCCCCAGCAGTTCTATTAGGGGAAGGACTGGACCCGAGGGCGGCGGAGCTCTTGGCACTCCGCAAAGTGGCTCGGTCCAAAGTCTGGCTGCGCCGTGCCTCCGCGTGAGGGACAGGGGATTCCCGACCTCCTAAACTGGCGGAATCTTTGTGATCAGCGTTCCTTTTTTTGCTGTTAATACCTGACGCTGAACCCCAACGACCTAAAGAAAGCCCACGTTTTCCACTGGAATCGTTCGTCTTGTGTTCGGACTTGGTGGACGGCGCCGGGGAGCCACTGCGGGTTAGAGTTCGGGACCTTTCCACCACTTCAGTAACTCCTGTGCGCATGGCCCCCACTGCGTTACGCCCCAGGGTGAGCGACCGACCTACTGCTGCAGTAAGTCTGCCAGGAGATGCTGTGTGGCTCTTAACATCATCCGTGGTGAGTTCTTCCGCGACCTCGCCGGACGCTCTGATACACCAAGGAGTCACCTCGATATCACGTCGCAACCAACCACCCGCACGAGTGATTCGCTGGTAGGCTCGGCCCTGATGATCGTTAAATGATTAGTAATTAATGATCGAAGAACCGTGACTTAACTACTTTTTATATAGATGAATTGTAGACTCATTTCAACAAGTGTAACTCGTTATTAGCACATTAAAGATAGTATATTTTACCTGGAAGATGGCCTGGCCAACGAACATCCTGAAGAGCGACTCGACGGCTTCGGAGAGCGCCGAAGGTTCGGTGTTCTCTCCATACCTTCCCTCGATGAAGGTGAGGAAGACGGGCAGGGAGAAGGTGCTGATGGAACCAGACACCATCTGCCAGTCGTTCCAGTCCCAGTCACGACCGAGCCCCTCCACCAGCTGGCGACACACTTCGCACACCTCACACCGACGTAGCGAAACCTTCCGCAAATAACAGATGTCTTACAATGCAGAGGTAAGATAAATAAAATCTGTCCAATTCCAAATTAATAGGAAACCAATATATTAATAAGAAAGCAAAATTTTCTAACAACGGAAGTACTTGGACGTATTGAAATATTCAACCGATACATGATGCCACGACAGACGGAAAAGTATTTAAAAAGGCAATGATGAAGTGACTCGATCATTTGCAGCTAACTTGTTTGATTTAAACAATTAAAGAAAGTGAAACGCTCACTGTTCAGAGACATGATTTGAGAATTAATTGAAACCGGCAATCATGCATGGGTAACCACAAACAAGATTACATGAAGAGGACATTAATCAAGAAGATTAATGTCCTCTTTAGTTACAAAATTATAATATAATTAAAAATTATAATATAATTATAATAATTATATATTATAGTTAAAAAATAACCGATTACCTGCTGCAGGTCCCCGCCCATGGAGATCCTGTCAGCTAGCAAACAGAAGACCCTGAAGAGCTTGTAGGTTTCGGGGGGCGAGAGGAGGGAGGGGAAGCGTGGGGCGAGGGAGTGCCGCCCCACCTCCCACATGAGGGCGTCCAGGGCAGCGTGGTGGCGCTCCATGCTGCTGTAGGGCGTGTCAGCCGAGCACACGTCCGAGAAAACCTGTGCACGTTTGGTAGGGTCAAGCTACCATCTCGTAACGGTGTAAACTAACATTTAAAATACATTTTTGAGCCCTGTGCAGGTTAGGTAGGGTCAAATAACCTTGCCGCATCGGTGTAAACTAATATTTAAAACGCCTCTTAGAGCACTGTGTAGGTTAGGTAGGGTTAAATAATCGTGCCGCAACGATGTAAACTATTTAAAACGCCCTTTTGAACCCTGTGCAGGTTAGGTAGGCTTAAATAACCATGCTGGAACAGTGTAAGCTAATATTTAAAATACCTTTTTGAGCCCTGTGCAGGTTAGGTAGGGTTAAACAACCATCTCGCAACGGTGTAAACTAACATTTAAAACGTCTCACCTCACACTCATCATGATTATCTCATGATCATCTCATGATCACCTCACACTCATCATGCTCATCTCATAATCACCTCGCACTCATCATAATCACCCCAAACTCATCATGATCCCTTCATGATTACGTCAAACTCATCATGATCACTTTATAATCACCTCACACTCATCATAATCACCTCATACTCGTCATGATCACCTCACACTCATCATGATCACCTCACACTCATCATAATCACCTCACACTCATCATAATCACATGATCACCTCATAGTCACCTCACACTCATCATGATCACCTCATAGTCACCTCACACTCATCATAATCACCTCACACTCATCATGATCACCTCACACTTATCATGATCACCTCATAGTCACCTCGCACTCATCATAATCACATCACACTCATCATGATTACCTCATAATCACCTCACACTCATCATAATCACCTCACACTCATCATTATCACCTCATAGTCACCTCACACTCATCATGATCACCTCATAATCACCTCACACTCATCATCATAATCACCTCACACTCATCATAATCACCTCACACTCATCATAATCACCTCACACTCATCATAATCACCTCACACTCATCATAATCACCTCATAGTCACCTCGCACTCATCATAATCACATCACACTCATCATGATTACCTCATAATCACCTCACACTCATCATAATCACCTCACACTCATTACAATCACCTCACACTTACCATAGTCACCTCACACTCATCATAATCACCTCATAGTCACCTCACACTCATCGTAATCACCTCATAGTCACCTCACACTCATTGTAATCACCTCATAGTCACCTCACACTCATTCATAATCACTTCACACTCATCATAATCACCTCATAGTCACCTCACACTCATCGTAATCACCTCATAGTCACCTCACACTCATTCATAATTACTTCACACTCATCATAGTCACCTCACACTCATCATAATCACCTCACACTCATCATAATCACCTCACACTCATCATAATCACCTCACACTCATCGTGATCACCTCATAGTCACCTCACACTCATCATGATCACCTCTCACCTCACACTCATCATAATCACCTCACACTCATCATAATCACCTCACACTCATCATAATCACCTCATAATCACCTCACGCTCATCATAATCACCTCACACTCATCACACTCACCTCATACTCGAGGAAGTGGAGGTACTGGTCGAAGTTGAGCGTATCAGTGCTACGGTAGTCGGCCAGGCAGCCCTCGACGGCGCGCTCCAGGTGCAGGGCGTCGCCTATCTGCCGCGTCAGCTCCTGCCACCACAAGCCATCGGTAACTCAATTAACTTCATTATTGTCATGAGTGTTTAGTTACCTTGAATATATCTAGTTATTTTGGTCATCGGTACTCTATAAACTTTTGGTCGTCGGTACTCAATACACTTCATTATTATCATGACTGTTTAATTATCTTGAATATATCTACTATCTAGTTATTTTGGTCATCGGTACTCTATAGACTTTTGGTCGTCGGTACTCAATACACTTCATTATTATCATGAGTGTTTAGTTAGCTTGAATATTTCTAGTTTTTTGGTCATAGTTTGGTCATCGGTAACTCAATAAACTTCATTATTACCATAACTGTTTAGTGAGCTTGAATATTTCTAGTTTTTTGGTCATAGTTTGGTCATCGGTAGTCTATAAACTTCATTATTGTTCATGACTGTTTAGTTAGCTTGAATATGTCTAGTTTTATGGTCATATATATAGTTTGGTCATCGTAGTCTATAAACTTCATTATTATCATGAAAGAAGTTGCACATTTGTATACATTCATAAAAGGAATGTATACAGATTCTCTTTAGTTAGCTAATATGTGTCTAATTTTTTGGTCATAGTTTCCTCTTAATAGCAATAGGTGGTAGGTGTAATGATAAACAACATAATAATAATTTTCACAAAATATAAAAAGGGAGAGAATAGATTATTATTTGACAGAAGTTTATGTAGTCTAATATATACAAAATAGATTTCGACTGCATATTAAATGAGGAGGTGTAACTTAGTGAGTAAACACTGGCAATAGATGGAACTATGCAGCGTGTTTATACGTAGAGCTGGCTTTTTGGGTTAATAAATAATCTAACGAATATTAATTACTAATGTTGTGTTTAAACAACATTAGGAGCTGCGGTTTCTTTACAACATTACGATTAATTTCTAGGATACTTGGACCATAACACTAGTCCAATTTTATGGTCCAAGGCCATAACACACTTGGACCATAAATTAGAAGTGTTATTTACTTCTCGCAATTTCACAAATTAGAATACGAAGTCGCTTTGAACGCACACACGCACAATTAAAGCAAAGTTCACAAGTCTGGGTAGAGGGCCAGAGTTTGAGAGGCGGTTGAGTACAACAATTGAAGTACAATGATCTCTTCCTGTGCTGAATATCCTGCTTGCTTTACTATGGCCCATGGACAGAACGCCGCGTCCTGTCTTCTCTAAGCCTGACTCACTTGAATAACAATGGTGGGTCTGACACGCGTGACCAGCCGTCACTTATGCTTTCCTATCTAAGCTCAAGTTGAAAAAAATACTCCAATATAAACTTTCAAAGCCTGGATCAAACCCAAATTTAAGGCTAGTAATATAAATTCAAAATTCGTAATTTAATTGTACACTGCATGAGCACGTTACGCACAATATGTAATGCGGTTGATATATCTTTTTAAAGTTTGGTCTGTGAGCTGATATAATTTTTCGGTATAAACCAGTTTCGATTATTTATTGCCCTTAGTCAGTTGATATACGCTTGCCATGAACAGGTGGCTCAACCCTCATCTCGAGATTGACATTTAAGGCGTGCAAGGATTTTTTGTAACGCATTGTCCACGTAGTGACGTAATATAAGGCAGATGGCATTTTTTTAATGAAGAAAAACTTATGCATTTGTCATATGAGTTATTTGTTATTCAGTTGTAGCGATTGTTAGAATGATTAAATCCAATATATTTAACATAAAAATTCTGCGCATTATAGACTTCAGCAGTTTAATTCAACAGCGGCAGACACGATGGTTAGAATATTAAGTTTCATTTAAACGTCGAAAAGAGAGACCGTAGAAGAGAGAAATCGACCGTATATATTCGGTACTCAAGTGATCTGGTACATAAACAGTAAGTCGTGTTCAACAGTTAATTGCATAACCAATAACTTCATTAAAACTAAATAATGCAAAGACATGATTTCTTAGCTATTTTTCACACAAAGAATTTCACAAGTATTATTTACCTGAAGGTTATCTCTAACTGAACTTTAAGTCTAGTGGCTTACATATTATACTATAATGTATTATATTTATATCATATTATATATTATAAAAAATATAGGCAAAAACACCCACCTTAAGCCTGCTTTTGTCAACGACGCCAAGCTTGTGTTGGTCCAGAGCATCGAACGCAAACCACAGGCTGTTTGCGACGATCTGGTGCAGTGATGACGTCATAGCTGGGGTGCGGGTCTCCACTCTACGACAAAATGATATGTTATTTTATCTCAGACGTAGTGAGTTCTCATATTGATTTTAATCGTTAAAAAATTCTCAAATTATGTTCTTATGATATAGTAAAGAGTAAGAGTAATTGACAAAAATGTCTTATATTTTCGTGGTGAGTTTAGTGTTTCGCGTCGTTTATTTTATTATTCATCGTTCATCTAAACTCTATAGTATACTCTGCGAGGACATTGATGCTTTAGCCTATGATTTTCAAATATTTCCTTGCCCGCACGGCAGACCTGAGCTGTATACCTAGTGATACGGTAATTCTAAAGAAAGCGCAATGCACGAATTATATGTCAGTTATATAGCAGTTACACGAATAGCTAGCTATACGGTAGTACTAGAAGAAACGTTACACGAATTGCAATAAAGGTATTCTGGAAGAAACCTGTTACACGAATTGCTATACGGCAATACTAGAAGAAACGTGTTATACACGAATTGCAATGAAGGTTTTCGAGAAGAAACCTGTTACACGAATGACTAATAAGCAATTCTAAAAAAATGTATTAGAGGAATTCACTCACCAATTCATGATATTCAAGACGCAGAATTCGTAGTGAAATGCCGGTCGACCGAAGCACGAGACTGTCCAAGTTATGCTCGGTTAATGATCAATAAGTTATGGTTTATCAATGATCATCAAAAGAAGTACCTTGTAAAATGTCGAAAAATATAAAATGGAGGCAATAAAAATAGTATTTAGCAGTAGGAATGTCGAAATGGGTAAAAGATAATTCGTTATTCGAGTGTGCGTCTGAAATAGAGAAGATTCATACATTGTATGTCCATCCAATAGAAACTCAAATAATTTTTGAAATTGATTCTCTGAACTTGAAAAGAAAACAGACACGATTTTTGCTTGTTTGAGACTGAACATCGTAAATGATAGAGGGCCATGAAAGGACCGATAATTTTAATTTATAAATGGCCAACCTGTTTTACAGCAACGGAACATCGAATAAACTAAAAACCCTTTTATGCGTATTATTCATTTTGCGTCGTAATTCATGTCGTATACATAGTTTAGCACTGTAATTTTATAACAAATTATTCAATGCAAACGGACCAGCACCAAAATCGTTGACAGAAGTGAGTGATATATGTATATGTCATCATAAATACAATAATCGAAAGTACGTAAAACTTCCCCATGGATATATGTTTTGAGAACTTGTATAATGCCTTCTATTAAAGAAATCTAGAGTAAAGTATACTTTTCGAGCATTTTACAAACAGTGGAAGCCTTTCGTTACCGTCGATTATTACAGCTGTATAAACTTTCTTACTCGCGCCACTCACGTCACACCTTGTAAATGTTAATATTATTATACTTTTATTATTATATTATTAATAATATCAATTGACCCAAGTAATGTAACCATTTAAAAAAAATTGCGAAGTTGCATGTAATTTATATTATATGGCCTAGTCAGAGAAAATCTTCTGAAGATCGAAACTTCGTATTTTTGTTTGGAAAATGAAAAGTACGGTGCTCGCTTGATGAGTTTGCTGCGATGATGCGATCTAGCAACTAACTTTCAAAATTAGACAATTACTTCTTCAGGCGGTATTGATGGCAAACAAATCATGAACGTCAACAAAATTTGACGTTGATACGTCTAATGTGAATGTATCACGCGAGTTATGTTGCATCCTCAGCGACCAAACGGTCTATTAACTACAGTTCGAGTACGTAGGTGAAGATAGCAATAAAGAAGCGGTCGTGCGTGCAGTATTAAATGCGTGAGAGGGGGCTTTTAAAAACAATGACGAGTGAAAATAACGGGAAATTTAAGAAAACCAACAACAAATGAACGAAATAAGAATAAAAATAATTCAGACTTCAAACTGCGAGAGATGGTAGCTGCTGCGAAACATTTTACTGGCAGTTCACCGAAGAATGTAGACACGACAGACTAGCTGAATTTTGGTGCCATGTAACGTCTTGGTCAAGGATTCTCGATAACCGAAAAGAACAAAACAAATAATTAATTTTTGAGTGAGAAATGGTGTATAATTTACACTCTATTCGACACGCAGTTGTCACTAAGCTAACGAAGCGCATACATGACACGAACCACGCATCATACGCTCGTCTCAACTGTACCTGAACAACCAACTTTCGTGCGTGCGTGCGTTAATAACGTTAATGCAACACAAGGGAAAGTGTGAGCAGATCGAGATTATAATAACGACTGGTGGGGAAGTAATCGATAGATGCACCTTTATATAGCGCTGATAAAGAACACATATGATGAGTTCCGGGTCGTTATATATACATATTTCTGACTTTCGTACATATATGTGTTGTATCATTCGTATTGTCACAAGCGGAGAATAATAGTGTATGCGTCACAGTAAAGATATCGTTAATTCTACCAACCCTTGATAAGTTATAAAATCATGAATTAAAATTAGCAAGCTAATTTCCTGCTAGAAAACGCCAAAATTCACATCCGGATGGGACAATATTCTAAAACTGTTGGTGTGTAAACAAGTTTATCACGATGAAAATTTTTTATTTTCCAGAAAACTCAAAGAAACCGTGCAGTTTCACCTTCTACATTCCAAAGAATGTATGAAGAGTTCGTACAATTAAGCGCGCGACGCCACGTATACGTGATGGCCCGCGGCGCACTCGTCTACTGCGGCGAGCTATATAGACAGACGTACTTATTTGTCACGTACCTACTTGTTACTTATTGTTTCTACATCGCATAAAACTACTAACGATCGCCATTTCATAAAGGCTTTTTGTAAATTTTAGTTCCGACCTTCAGTCCCTTTTTTCACCGTAGTTTACCTGTCAGTCCAAATCTTGCATTCAATTCATACTTGCCGTAGGACCGAATACTTTGGAAATTTAGTTTCGCGCTTATATTTATTTGTTCATAATTTATTAACTGAAAAAATTTGTCAACTTCTACTTATATCTTTGAATTATTGATTTATTTGCTTATATTATATTTTGTACTAGCAGAAACTTCTTGTTGTCCAGAGATTTTTGATAAACTCTTTGGAAACTTTAGTATTGAAATTTAGCCAAGCTGAGAAAGCCAATAAAGGAGCCATGTGGAAAAGCTCACGATTGTATTAGAATTTTAGGATAATTTAAATGTTAGAAGGATTGGGGAAGTTTCTGAACTGATTAAGAATTTCAGCTTCTAATTAGCCAAGCTGAGAAAGCCAATAAAGGAGCCATGTGGAAAAGCTCACGATTGTATTAGAATTTTAGGATAATTTAAATGTTAGAAAGATTGGGGAAGTTCTGAAATGATTAATAATTTCAGCTTCTGGATCGCCAAACCAAAAAAAGAAAAAAATTAGAAACAACAACGAAATTTATCATCTGTTAGTTAAACGAAGCATAGTGTGTTTAGCGTGTATTCAAACTTCCACGAAATCAAAACGCGTGTATTCAAACTTTAATAAAGATGTCAAATGATAAAATTCATGAACACGACGTTATTTTTATCAACATTGAGCATCACGCGGATTGTATACAGACGACCACACGAGCTTTCACGAGTGATGGACCCTAATTTAAAGCGTCGGCTCGATCCGGCGATCTGTTACATAGAAAAAAAATCCACAGGCGTAAAGGCTTAGTGCAAAGGTAATACTAACAATTTAGAAATGCAGAATACAAGTGGTTAGAAAACCAAAGCAGAAACAAGTGGACAAATATAAAGGTAAAGACTATAAAGGTTTACACATGACATAACAAAACGGTACAGTCTTAGCCGTTCGCTCTTACGGAGGAACCGTTAGAAGTAAGACGAGGTTAAACGCCGCTGTCCAGCCGCTCCAGCCACCTATCAGACAACCGCTAACATTTTTCTTATTTCCACAGCCATGAACTGCGAATATCGCATCGTGCCTTACACATTGGCTGATTTATTTTGTTAGAAAGGAAGTTAGTTCTAATGCACATGACAGAGCCAAACCCACGCGCATTACATACTTATATGAGATGAGATTTACATTATTTTTTTGTCTCCCTTAATTCGATTTGTATAATAATACTTTCAGAAAGGCCTCATACTCTTTTCACACATGATAGTGAACACATTATGTTAATCAGGAAGGATCATAATCAGATAATCTCTAGGAGTGACCACCGTATAATACCCTCAGTCATAATCTTATACCTACTGGAGTAACAATAAAGTACCAGAGAACATTCACCGCATTTAATGAGTCATTCATCCATCAGCTTGATTTGACACTTCCGGAAGCGATTATTCCTTGCGAACGTGAGAAGTGCCGTGAAAACCAACGTAAGTTTAGCAGGTTCTTTTTACTTGAATTACGGCGAGTAAAAATGCCAGCAGAGACGAGCGTCGTGATCGAGAAGTCGGAGGAGATAATTATAACTGACAATGAATTAGAAGCATATTGGAAGCATAGCAACAGTGACAAATTTTATATTAATCAAGAAAAAATAAATTATAATATCATTAATCTGAGGCGAGTTACGAAAGGCGTGAGTAAACAGCGAATGAATAAGATGAGAAACGAATAACGAATGGGCTTACATTTTCGAGCACGAACCGTTGAGCGAGACTCGAGCGCTACCTCTTCAATCAAACGCAAATGTAAACACACGATTCCTCCTTTGAAATCAACAAAAAAGATACAGACTCACGTTGACGCTCCTTCGACAGGTTGTATAATGGGATATTTTATGATAGTAAATTAGAAAATCAAATATATATACCGCTGATATGTAGTGCGTTGAAAGATTATCAATAGCGATTTGACCGCATAGCGCGATCGGCATTACAGGGACGAGTTAACAACACAACTTAGTGATGTCGGCGTTTAAGACACTGATGTGGCCTGTCGCCGATTCTTGAACTTTTCGTGACTTGTTCACAGAAGATCTAAAATCGTGTCATTTGACCGGATCTTTTCAAGACTGACGATAGTTTGCAATAGCTATACTAGACTTCCACCGGGTTTGATATGGTGCTAGGCATTTCAAGTCTGAACATATATGAACATATGAAGAATCTGTTAAGATTTCCTCAGATGACGGCCCTTACAAGGACTAGCACAGCTGCAAAACTTATCGCTACTCTTAGGAGCTACCACCTTATATTGAGCCAGTCTCTCAGCCCGGTGAATTATATTAAAACCCTCTCCGTGTGTTTTTTTAATACATCGGCGTTTCCGAGCGCTCAAACTCAACGTTTAAACTTTACTCGCCATATGAAGGTGGGTCTTTAAGACGAAGTGAGCTAATTTTTATTGTTCACAATTTCAAATCTCAAAAATTACAGAGAATACGAAAAAATTTGCAATTTATCATCTGACAACAATTTGTACAAATTAGGAATTATCCATCGTTCCAGGCAACTCTAGGATCATGAATTGTATCAATACGTGTCAAAAATTTATTTTCGCTTCTCTTTTGTATTCGGTTCACATGTTTTCAAACTTGCCATGAAGCTGGCGTATAAATAAAGTTCAACTCTGTCCTACGTTGACGATTTAGCTCAATGTAAAGTGGGAGCCCGCAGGTTCCGCACGAATTAATATCAGTGGCAAGCGATGTTTAATGTGGGGGATTTAAGGACGAATCAGCGCTCAAGTGCCATTGAGTTAGCCTGACTATGACAGCCCGCAGCAGCTTTTTAAGCTATGGCCCTTCATCAGTCTCACTAGTAACTCACAAGTCACAATAGTAAATTCCAAGTCCCATTATTTACCCGAAATGTAGTCTGATCAAAGAAACCGTGCAGGTTTCTT